TAAAACCCTTAGAAAATGACTACTTCTAAGAGATGTTTTCCAGGTATAGCTCGTTTATGGGTTTTGAATGTTTCACAGTATTCTACTTTTTTAATTTGTTGGGGATAGGAAGTTGTTACCTGCTTGGTCTAGCCGCTGGTTCTTTGGTACCGGCCCACAGTATTTTCTATGACCTTGAGGTGATCTCAATCTTGGTATACCAGGAAGAACAGGAACACAAGTGGTATAGTCAGCAATAACAGTGGCATCACAGAGAGCCACCTGCTAGTGAAGGCCTTCAGGTCTGTTACCCCTCTCCCCTGCTGCATCTCTGTGTGGAGACCTCTTGTGCTGCCAGCAGTCACCATGCATCTCAAGGTCTGAGCCACTTCTTCCATGCAATGAATCCCAAGTCAGAGAGAAGGCTCTGCTGGCTGCCTCCTTCCTCATTGAAGTTTCTCTCTTTACTCTCTCCATGGGCTTCACTTTTCACCTCAGATTCTTCCTGAGTACAGGGGACCCACTTCTCTCCTTCTTCTCATTGTGTTGCTATCTTCCAGTGAAACAGACCATTGTTAACAGAACCGTTCAATTTGCATGGGTGCTTAGAAACGAGTGGCTTTTGTTTAGTGTTGAGGGTTTAATCACTGACTGAGCCAGTTAGTTTCACTCAATTTAAGGGAATAACAACAACATAGTAAAGAGATATTTCTGGTTTAAATGTGAACAGACCAGCTCAGTTTTATTACAAATGCTGAATAAATAAAACTTACCAGATGGTGAGTTATCAGCATTCTGTTAACTTTAAAAGAAAAGCATATTTTATAGCTAGAAAATAACTTTGTTGTAACCAACATTCCTACACTGAGTCTAAAATAGGTTAATTCTGTATTATAAGTTCAGATTCAAGAATATGCTGGACAGCAATTATAGAAATAAGACATAATAAATTATTATTCTAGTCTATATCCCAAATGGTCTTACTTGCTCAACAGAGGAATTCACAAGTTTTGCAATTTCCATTACAGATAAATTTCAAAATAACATGGGATGACATTAAAATAATTATGGATACTAAAAGACGGAAAAAGAAATCTAGTTGTTCCAGTTGTTAATGTCTTAATCATTCATGAAATCAACTCAAAGGTCAGATGTCTGCTAGAGGACCCTAGGTAAGATTAAAATGCACTATTTAATCAAATGTCATCAGAATTAAAAATCTTTTATGCTTAAGTGATTCTATTTTTTGAAACAGTGATAGACTTCAATAAAATGTAATATATCTTTATCACATAAGTGTTTCTAAAATCTTGTTTTCAAATTGCTTTTATATGCAATAAGCTTTGATGGAAATTGGCATTTATTTTTTAAAATTTATGCTTTTATATTAGGTTTTCATAAACATAAAGATATACCTGTGTGAAGCAAATAAATATTGAAACAATTTAGGAAGTGAATTATCAGATGGTTTGTTTTATGCTAGTGATCTGTTCAAAGTTCATACCCATGACACAATGTCCTACTGACGAGTGGCACATGGTAAAACTTACATTCACTAATGTAGCTTATAATTAGCTGAATAAATAAAGGAATATTGATTTTCCAAGATGTTTTTCTTCTTCAAGTTTCAAAATGCAAGAAAGTTCTATGTTTTTCTACATTTTTCAGTAATTAAACATGTGAAGCTACTGGAATCAGATATCTTATAGAAGATAATCTAAAATGCATCAATTTCTATTAAATTAATTGTTGGGAAATAGAGGGAGGTAGGAAGGGTAGGAATGGAAAACTAGTATATGGTTGACACAGAAGTAAAGCCTGATAATTTCTTGTGTCTTTCTCTTACATATGAATTTAAATCTTAAGAGCATAATAAATTAAAATCAAAGACCTCCATGAAATGATTTTCAACTGAAAGTTATGCCTTTGATTTTATAGCCTTTATAAGCTTTTAAATAGCCTGAACTTTTAGTACATTGTCTGTTTTCTAACTATTTTATTCAAGCTGCTAGTGCAGCAAATAAACAGCTCATGCTTTGATCTCATCAAATTACAACTTACAGTTCCTAGAGCCATAAATACCATGCTGTTTCTCTTGCGCCTCCTGCTCTGGCAGGGGTGGTCTGCTTCACATCACTATCTCCTCAGTGCACCAACAATGCTCACTCAGACAAACAGCAAAGGCTGCAAGCCGCTCACAGATAGCATCTGGCATTTCTCTGGATGGCCATCATGGTGAATCCAGTACTCAGCACTGCAATACTCAGTTTATCTAACGACTAACCCTGAAAGGAATTCCACCTTATCATAAACCACTAACTTAACTGTCCTGGACAAAATCACAGAACAGTATAAAAGAAAAATGAACATTATCCTTGGGAAAATTAATGAAGTTTTAACTGAATGACATAACCAGTGTTACTAGATTTGATTAGTTTTTCCAAAAGAAAGTAAAAAACAAAAAGCTTTTCTTAAAAAGCTACATAAGATACACAAATATAAAGCTAGTGTACCTAGAATACATAAAACATTAAAAATCAGCTCTTAACTCTCCATGTTTGCTATCACTTAGACTTTGAAGTCAAAAGGCAGCACAATTTTCTCTTTTCCCTTTCATAAATCTTTCTTGTGAGAACAATCCGGTTGTACATACACTGACATGTCTTTCCAGAGTGATAAAGCCTGCCACCCCCTAAACCACTGAGTGGCCGGTGGTGGCCCTGGCCTAGAGTACAAGGCCTGGGACAGAGGCAAACTGTCTTGCAAGCACCCCGTCCACTCATGTTTAGAGAGAGACATTCTTCACCCTCTCAATAAATCTGCCAAGGATTTGTCTCAGTGGGTTCACATGAGCTCCATCTAATCTATAGGTCAGTGTCTTAAACTATGCTAGAAATAAAAGTCTATTTTTTACCATGAAACTTAATTCAATGCAAAACAATAATTACAGATATTTAGAAGGTATAATCTTTTAGCAATAGAACAATAAAGCATACAAATAGTTTAATCAACAAATTTTTATGGACATTATTAAATCACTGACAAAAATACTAAATATGGCACATCTTTTAGCTCATGTGGAAGCTAAAAGAGTTAATTTTCATAGAAAAGAATAACATACTGCTCACTAGAGGTTAGGAAGGGGAGAGAGGGAAGTAGAGAGAAGCTCAATGACAGGTCCCAGAATGTAATGCTTGGAGGAGTGTATTCTAACACTCTACAGACCACCATTTACAGCAAGCTAGTGTCTTTATTTTATTACTTTTAATGTACTTGGTAAGGGTCTCACTATGCAGCGTGGGCTCACAGTCATCCTCCTGTTTTCAGCCGCCCCAGGCCGGGAGTATAGTGTGCACCAGCACACATAGTCCTGGGGGCTGGCTCAGCGCACCTGGGGGGCAGGGCAGGGCCAGTGTAGGACCTGCACTTGTCTAAGCAGGGGCTTAGTCCACTGCGTTATCTCACCAGCCCTGAGTATCTATTTTATAAAGAATACAAAAGTCCCAACATGAAGAAATGATAAACATTTAAGGAGATGCTAATTATCCTTATTTGATCATGACAGATTATATACATGTATAAAATATCACACTGTACCCTATAAATGCCCTATAACTATATGGAAAAAAAGATTTCAAATGGTCCAAAGATAGACATACTTCTCACCAGAGAAGATCCACAGACAGTGAGCCAGCATATGCAAAGCCTTGCAGTGTCACATGTAACCAGGGGGTTGCAGACCAAATGAGGCAGCTCCATGTAGAGCACATGTCTAGCACATGTGAGGCCTAGGGTTCGCTCCCAACCTGGACAAACAAACAAAGCCACTACACCCAATTGCAGGAACCAAACTCAAAACACTGTGAGTGTGGAGCACAGGTGAGGGGGTGACACTGAGGGCCTGCATGCGCATGGGACTGGGGACCCAAGGGAACTGCTGCCACTTCTTACACTGTGAATTCAGCCTTGGAGAAAATACATCTGTTACATTAAATATAGTAACTTCAAATAATGAGATTCTGTGCATATGGAAAGGTATAAATGCTTACATAGGGAGTACTTTTTTCCTTTTAAAAGCAGAATCTTAGCATGATATGGTTGCCACATGCCTAGCATCCTAGTCCTGTGGGAAGCTGAGGCAAGAAGACCAGATGGTCCAGCGCAGCCAAAGCCACTTACTGTCTGTGCAAGAACCTGACTTAAGAGGGAAAGGGAGCAGGAGTTCAGTACAAGGGCCCAAGTTTGTATTTCCAGTAAAATAAATAGGCAAGCAGCCTCCTTTTGAGTTGAGATGACAGTACTGTCCCAAATTAGATTAATGATGCACCAGAACCTCATATTCATGTTTTTATTCCTTGAGTTCAAAGTGCACTTTGAAAAGATGGTGAGGCGAGGTGGACAGCGTGTGTCAGTCACTCTGCCATCACTGGGATGCGATGCCCAACACCCACAGCTTAAAGGAGGAAAGCTTATGTTGGCTCAGTTTCAGTGTTCAGTAGAGGTTGGCTGGCTCCAAGGCAATGTTAGGAGAGACGACCAGGTCTGTGTAAAACAATTTTACCATAGAAGGACCTGTAACACTCCTTTCCAGGCCCACTGCTGTCACCCACTTCCTTCAACCACAGTCCACCTCCTAACAGCAGTGTCTTTCTTTTTTTTAGTACCAGAAGGGGAACTCAGAACCGTGCCCTTGTGGGTGGGCTCCATGCCACTGCGCTGCACCCCAGCCCAACAGCACTTTCTGCTATGAACTTACGATGGATTGCTGCTGGGAACAGTGCCTCTGCGATCCCGACTCCTTCCAAAAGCTTTGTCTCTGAGCAGGAGACTTCTGGGGGACATTTTAGATCTAAATCCTGATGGGGTAAAATCTTACATTTTGAAATTCATTATTACCTTACTAGAATCATAACTCAAAGTTTATGAATCTATACGTTTCCTACCAAAAAACTACTGTTTTTTAATAAGACTATTTTAGATTACAATATTTTATTTAATAATACAAAGTATACCAACCCTACCTTCTTTAAGCTGCATATTTCAGATTCTTGCTTCTTATTTAAAGCTGCAAGTCTTTTGTTTAACTGTATTGCTTCTTGTACTGAAATATGAAAGACATTTGGGAAAACACTGTATATTTCAAAGAAAGTATAACTAGCTTGGACAGGGAAAATAGTGTCAATATTATAGATATAATTATTTAATATTCTTTAAATAGTCATCTGCTACTATATAAGTTAAGTTTATTCATGATGAATAAGTCTATTTTAATAATCTCTACTGAATTTAATCTCTACAGTTTAAATATAATACCTACCACTTTTTTCTAACTTCATGTGATTCTCTTTTACCAATCCAAACTGATTTGCCGTTGTAGCACAGTATTTCTCAATTTCATTCAGCTGCTTATGATAATCTTCTTTGGCCAGAAGATGAAACTGGATCTTTTGTTCCTATTTTGAATAATTTTTAAAGTTATTGATATAATAAAACATAAACATGTGTAACATGTATACAGTGATAACCACTCTTCTTAGTAAGATGCTAAAAATAAATGTCATAAAAATACTCTAGAGCTACACCACTGGGACAAAAATGTTAGGAGAGGCTACTAGATCTGTGTAAAACAAAGCACGCTATTTTCCTGTAACAAAACAGTCACTTCATGTAATGCATCCACTGCTTAGAATTTCTTTTTCAAAGTCAACTGTTTAATTTATATATAAAAAATGAATAAACCTACCACTAAATAAAGTATGGGGATTAAAGCAACAGTCTGGTACTTGCAAATAGTTTTCTTTCTCCCACAGACCATCCAGATAATTAAGACCTAATTAGATCATTTTTTCTAGTCTTTGTCCCTTTAGTTTTTAAGCATAAATTTGATATACACTGGAAAAGCTCAGGTAATTTTTCTGAGATTAATTTTAATAACATAGCACCTTCTCACTGCATTACAAAATAGAAGGCAAGAATAATAACTCCAAGTGGCAGGAAGGCAATGCAGTAGAGGTGAAAATCCAACAAACTAGAGGTGTAATTGGTAAAAATAAGACCCTACTTGTAATAGAAGGGTCTCCACTCTTTCAGCTAACAGTACTTTTATCATACTTAAGAACTGACCTTAACTTTTAAAAGTTGCCTAGCGCCTGGTTCAATTGCCAGTACCATCCCCCAAAATGTTAATAAAGTCAGTAATATTTTAATTTTTATTTATTTTTAATCATTTATTTATTTATTATAGGATCTCACTATGCAGAAACATAGTGATCCCCCTGTTTCAGCCTCCCCAGAACTGGGATTATAGGCATCGGCCACCACTCCCAGTTTTGGTGGTCAGCATGGCATGCCTGGGTTCCAGGGCCAGCACAGTACCAGGGATCGAACCTGGGTCCTTGAGCTTGCCAGGCAGGCACTTAGACCACCAAGCTATCTCCCCAGCCCCAATAATACTTTTTAAAGCTTTTAAAAAAAATCTCAGCATTAACAGAATCATTGATGGGCTTTACATCTTAAAAAAAAAAACTGCTTTAGCTTCTATGAAAAAGTGTTAAAACAAACAAACAAAACAAAAAAACAAAAACAAAAAAAAAAAAAACAAAACACCAGCCAAACAAAACATAGCATAGGCCCATCAACGGGCACTCCCTACTTGTCTTCTGAATGAGTTACTGCTGCCCTGCCGAGTTCTGACAGTGGGTTTTTGCAGGAGTCACCTGCAGTATCCATTTCCTTTATCCAATATGACCAGTACTATACTCTCTTTTACTGAAATGGCTCTTTCTCATTAATTTCACAGGACTAGAACTCACAAGCTTTATTTTTCTCCCAGGGAAGGGCAAGGCATCTTGTCCAAAATAAAGCAATTGATCTACCTTTCTGGAATTTGATCTGAGCAAGCAGAGTACAAAACTGAAGAAGTTTGGTGGTGACCCAATTCAAACTAGTATGAGACCTCTGTTGTGGCTATGTTTTGCCTTCCGAAAGTACTGTAATCCCTGAAGGGAGGTCTAATTGACTCCCACACTGTCCAGCTCTGTTGACTGGGTTCCTCCACTGAATTTGTTTGTGTAAATTAACCAGAGTCACATTTTACTACTTAAAACCAAAGTGCAGGTAGGGTAGCACAGTAGTTAAAAGTTACTCTTGTGTGTTTAAATCCTGTTTCTGTGACTGAGATGATATGATCTTGGGCAAATCATCCTGCCTTAAAGTGGAGATTATTCTACAAATTCCTTCCCAGGGTTGCCATAGAGATAAAGTGAATTTATATCAAGTGCTACAAACAGATCTTATTACATAACAATCACAATGTAACGATTTGTAATTGTTCTTTAACTGATGAAAGTATCCTTAACAGTTTTAATTAACTTATAGACCAAGAAGAGCTTGCTCTTATATTAATAAAGAACTACACAATTAAAGCTGTGCCTAACTCTATTATTCCACAAATCTAATGGGACACATAACTTTTTCGAAGTTATTTTTTAATGATTTTAACCCAAGTTATAATACAACCAATTATGATTATAGCAGGTCAGTTCAAAGTTTCTCACCCCCTTCTATGGGCTTTAGTTGGTCATTTGAACTAGTTGTCGACAAATGTTAACAATGAAAAAAGTGAGCCATATTCATTTCCTCTAAAATATCATTTAACTTCTGATAGAGGGCATTATATAACTTTCAGAAGATCTGTGAAAACCAGGCATGGTGGCGCATGCCTGTAATGTCAGCGTTGGGGAAGCTGAGGCAGGAGGATCACTACGAGTCTCAGCTGCACAGCAAGACCCTGTACCAAATAAATAAATACATATTTTTTAAAAAAGTTTGGAGCTGGGGAGATAGTTTGTTGGTCTAAGCACCTGCCTGGCAAGTGCAAGAACCCAGGTTCAATATCGCATGCTGTGCTGGTCCTGGAACCCTGAGTGTGCTGTGCCGGCCCTGAAACTAATTTAATCCCAGCTCTGGAGAGGCTGAGACTACGAGTCCGAGCTGCACAGTGAGACCCTGTACTAAATAAATAAATAAATAAACAAACAAATGATTTTTAGAAATTTAAAAAAAGGTGTGTGAAAACCCATCAGGATTTTACTGAGAACTAGTTATACAACATTGTTTATTCAAGAAATTTTTCAATTCAAATATGCATATAGCTTTTAAGAGAAATTGCTTTACTATATACTAATACATGGTCCCGATGACAGACTTAACTTTTCAGCTAAAAAGTGGTAGGCAGTCATTGCCTAAAAAGGTTCACAATTCTGTTAACAAAAAAATGTAGCAAATGCCAAAGAGATTTCATAGGCATTTCCTGTGTCTGAAGCTCTATACATTAACTTACGATATATACTATGTCAGCATCTTTTGCTGAAGCCAAAGTTGAATTCAATAAAAATGTAATTTCATTTCCTTCTACGACGTAATTCTGTTTCCAAGTGCAGTAGCCTCTTCAGTGAACATGATAAATACAGACACCTTCCAGGCCACACGGGCAGCAACAGCTCAGCACAGCGGTACTCATTTGCGCTCAGCTGGCTGCCCTGACAGTCCTGAGCTACCAAGTCTGCCACTGACTGCAGGATTACTGATAACAAGGTTCAAATTCATTGACAAGAAACAACAAATGGAACTGGTAATAACTACCAAGAACATTTTAAAAAATAACAAAGTAATGGTACTACTACCATTACAACTTTCATATTATATATCATATCATGATAGGAAATAAAGCTTATTTTACTGCGACTAATAATTAAATACATTGCTTACATTAAGTACATTTTGTTCTTACCTGTGATTAATTTGTTTTTTCCTTTATACAACTTTACCACTAACTACACAATTTATACTATAAGAAAATAATGTCCAGATAAAGTGTTTAATAAACACATGTGTACTTCACATGTGTTTTTATTTACTTCAATTTTTAAATCTTTTATTTACTTATTTGTTACAGGGTCTCACTATGTAGCTTGGACTCGTAGTGATCCTCCTGTCTCAGCCTCCCCGGTGCTGGCATTACAGGTATGTGCCATCACGCCTGGTTTTGGTGGCCAACATGGCATGCCCCAGGTCCTGGGATGAGCACAGCATGTGGTGCCAGGGATGGAACCTGGGTCCTTGTGCTTGCCAGGCAGGCGCTTAGACGGCCAAGCTGTCTCCCCAGCCCCATGTGTGCCTCTTTTTAAATGCAGCTAATCTATACAAATGAGGACTAGAGAAAAAAGATACACTTGAGACATTTAAAGTGGGAATCCTTTATAAATACTGACATACAATTTTTTAGAAATACTTTTACTAGCCAGGAATGATGGTGCATGCCTGTAATTGGAGTACTCAGGAGGCTGAGGCAGGAGGATCATCTCAAGTTGGAGGCCAGCCTGAACTACTCTGTAGAGTGAAACCCTGTCCCAAGAACAAAACAAAACAAAACAAAAAACTCCAAAATACAGAAAAGGAAATATTACTAATAAAAACTGTACCCACAGCCCCTCCATTTCCTTAATGAGATTAACTTGAAAACTAGCTATGTACTCACCAATACGGAATCATGAACTTGTGTTAAAAGTTTCTTAAACTATTTTTCAAATAATTTTTTTTAGCACACTAGATGTTATTACTCTTTAAATTTGTGCCTTGACACTAGTATGTATCTTGGTTTTGCTTTGCTCAGAGTCAAATAATATAAACTAATGATGTACTGCTCTAAAAAAAAAAAGATTAACTTTGAATATAGAAAAAGCAATGTAAGTTGCCTAAGAACAATATAAGAAAAATTATCTAAGAATTATCATGTAAGATAAAGATATATCAGAATGTTTAGAAAAACAGTACTTTTTAAATTAAAAAGTAAATATTCTGTCAGAGTGGGCATAAGATAGTAAATATATGCATCAAAATATACAATTACTTTAATGAAAAGTGATATAATGCTTTAAAAAGTCAGAAAAAAACACTATGACTCTAACTCAAATATCATCTTAGTAAATCATTTTAATAGGTTATAATTCACTACCACAAAAAAGCTTAGAAGTGACCAAAACTAGGTAAGTATCTTTTTATTTAGAGATTATAAACATATGTTTAATTAAACTTTAACTGGAATACAACACATTTTATGTTGCCTTTGATCTTTAACTTGTAGCCTTATCTCCCAGGTCAAAGGACACATTATTCAATTTCACTGTATTTTGTGTAAAATCGCTGTAGCGTTGATGATGACTTTCAGAACAAATGTCATGGTACTTAAGGCCAAACTGGAATCTAGTTTTTCAGCTTCTTAATTAAAATCAGAGTTTAAAAGAGTCTGACAATACTATTTTATTCTTTCCAGTTGAACAGTAACAGAATTTCACATCTTTTAGTCAATCAAGCTTAACAACCTCTTTATGATCTCTTTTATTTCCTAACACACCAAAACAATTTCAAGAAGCAAAATATTACTTTATGTTTTTAGATTCAGTGTCATAAGAAGTGAGAAGCCAGACTCAAACATTAATCTCACTTGCTTTACAGTCCATTGCAAAGAATAAAGATTGAAACTTCAGTAACCCACATGAAAAGCCTTCTAAAGACTTAAGAAAATCTAGGAGAATTCTCAGTCAAAGCTATACACACAGGTCCTTTGAATTGAAGGAGTGCTAGAAAGGAAGAATATTCCATAGAATTTTATACTGTGAACCAAAAATATTTATTTTTATATACATGGGAAGAGGAATTCACAACAAATACTATTGAACAATGAGAACCACACAAGTATAGAACAAAAAAGATGAATGGGGATTCACCAAAGTAGAGCTTTCCTAAGGCGACTGGATCACTGCACTCCAAATGCCACTTCATCTATTTCAAATTTTGTAATAAATAACTACAAATTTGCATGAATATCTAGCAAAGTATCATAATGGCTTCACTTTTTAAAAATTTTTATGTATTTGCTACAGGGTCTCACTGTGCAGCTTGAACTCATAGTGATCCTCCTGTTTTCAGCCTCCCTAGCACTGGGACTACAGGCGTGAGCCACCATGCCTGGTCTCGGTAGCCGGCATGGTGCACCTGGGGGTGGGGCTGGCGTGGCATGTGATGCTGGGCATCGAACCCCGTACATTTTTATTTTATAATATAAGGGCACTATATCTTTACAAGTAAATTTGTTAAAGAATTCATTTAAGCTGTACTGAATTGAAATTCCAAGTCTAGCCTTCAAAGGTGATAGCAGTATCCATTTTCAACTATTCCTGTTTTTCTAAACTATAAATATCACATTGATATTCACAAAACCATGATGCACTGTATGCACGAATCCAGGTGGGGAAATATATGCTGGGTCATTTCCTTACCATTTCACTTACTTTCTTCTGTAAAGAATATTTAGAAACCTTGAAAAAATAAAGAAGAAAAGATCATTAAATGTTTATTACAAGTTCCTTCACATATAAAAGTGCATACAATAAAGTGAAATTACCATTTTTCAAAATTTTACTTACACTAGTTCCCTTCCTTATTGCAGTAAGAATGCATTCACGTTTACTCTAAACACTCAGCGCCCCCCCGCCCCGCCCTCACACCAGCCATTCCCTGGGGCTCCCGGGTCATAGCTGTGAACTAAGCAGCTTTCTTTCCAGCAGGAGTAGTGCAGACAGATGATACACATGAAGACATATACAGGATGTTAGAGCGGGACAGCCACTGAGACAAACACAAAGACAGTAACCAGTCTAGGAGGGTTCCCTGAAGAAACTCTGAAAGAAAGGTTAGGCACAAAAGTCAATCTAAATAAAGTAAATCATCTCCAAGCCCTGGATGTCAGCAGTACCCTTCAGGTCCTTTCTGATGCATTTATATTTAAAAGATCCAGTGAGGAGTGGTGATAACAGATGCGCTCTTTCATAACCTCTTCTTATCTAACACCTAATGAACACCTTCCTGTGACCACTTGATATACAATGTAACTTTTTAACAGCTACACTGCACTCCACTGTCTCATTTGATCACGGTTTTCCTCACCCTTGTTTACAGGTTTACCCTGTATTCAATTTTTTATATTATCAATTATTCTAAAATAAAATGCTTGCACCTGAACTTTGTAGTTATTCATTTTAGCAGGATAAATTCCAAGCAGCAGCTTCTCTAATATTTGTTTAAAGTTTTTCCAGTCTGCATTCACAATTGGAAATGTACATTCGGAAGTCATGTCTACGCACATCACGTTAAAGACACATGCCTAGTGACATCAGAGTATTTTTAAAGTATATAGAATAAAAACAAAGTAAAAGATAAAGTTTGTCTAGAAAAATGTTAACTCCAAAGACAAATTTATGGACTACTGGACTATTTTGGGTTCTTCTGATGAATTCAAGTACCTACAATATTTGGATTTTGGTTTTTTTTGGCTGGCTCAGGCTGCCTTAAGGGCGGGTCTGGTAAGGCACATGGAGCTGGGGATCGAACCCTGGTATCCTGTGTCTGACTGCGTTTGCATAAGCAGGCGCTTAAACAACTGAGCTAACCAGCAGTCCCCCTTTGCCTACAATATTTTCTTTATTTGAATGGCAATGGAACACCCATTTCTGAGAAAACAAAACAAAAAAGGGGGATATAAACGAAGGTCCATTTTGTAGTGAAAAAACCCATATATATCTGTATATACAAAATAGGATAGATATACAGCTTTCTCTTAGTTCAATGAGAAGAAAGATTTGTACTAAGTGTTTAGACAAGATATCATGTCTACATCTTGTTCTCTGAATAACTACGAAGACGACAATATGCAATGCATTAATTATTGTAACTGGCCTACAACCTGTTTTGAAACTGGCTCATTGCTATTTCTTTCTCATTAAAATTAATAAAAAAGTTTAAGGGACTGTTAGTCTATTACTGAATATTATCTGCTGCCATTAGCTGTAGAGAAAACAAACATATGTAGAGCAAACTTGCCACTGCTCCGGAGACACCACGACCTACACACACGAGCTGCCCTAACTCCCAGTCCACAGCCCTGCTTTATCTAGGCCTCCACAGCAATGCTGAGTTTGTAAAGAAACTGTAGAGCTGCGTTTTGGACAGAGCTGGATTTGAAAATAAGATAATTAGACTGACACACAATCTTTTCATGAATGTCACATTTAATGTTTTTACTTTTTAATTCCTAAAAATCACAAATAATTTGGTTTATAATAGCAGATACAGGTATCTGTCTAGTAAAAAAAAATAACAAAAACTACAGTGATACCGATTAAGATGAACTATAGAGGAAATTTCAAGGATGATAGGTACTTTCTAGTGATTATACCACGTTCTATGAACAAATGTAATGAAAGTTCACTAAAAGCAAATTTCTTCAGAGCAAACCTTATTTTCTAATTTTTTTCATTAATTGCATTTATGTTACTTGTGAACAAAGTCCCCCAATATACAGTACTAAAAACATTTACTCCTATCCTCTCTCACAAAGGTTCAGGCCTGAGTCCACTAGGTGAGGCAGAACAAGGTGAGGATCTGTGCGTAAGTGAAGCAATGGGCACAGCGCTACAGGATGAGAACCAGCCTGACAGAGGACAGGGGTCCCCAGGGTTAGATGTGGCTGATGGGAGGACAGGTACTTAGCAAGAGAGAGGCCCTAGATTCAGTCCCCAGCAGCACAGGAAGGAAGGGGGAGAAGGAAGGGAGTGAGAGATGGAGCAGGGAGGGACGGAGGGAGGGAGGGGCAGGTGTACCCAGTGAAAGCGCGACCTAGCTCAAGGTGTCTGAATCCAGGCTGGGCAAGGGTGGCAGCCACAGGAGGGAAGAGCAGACATCAGAACAACTGAGTGACTTCACACAGGAATGGTTTTCAAATGTGTAAACATACTAACAATAATGAAAGTTGGACATCTGAAAGAAAAGGAAAGAATAAAGCCAGAAGGAAATAAACCTCCCTTGTGCTCGGAGACCATGCTTGGATACGGCGCTTTCAGTACCGACACAGAAATAAAGGGCAACTGGGAGTGTGTGATGACGTAGGTGCTCTCCGTGCTCACTCCTGCCTGGCTCTTTCAGAGGTCCTGGAGGCACTGATGCCGCACAGTGCCAGGGGGATAATGCCCCGATCTTCTCTGCTGCACACCATTTTTCTGCTAGCAGGAACCAGTGTAACACAGAAATGGTTTGTTCCAAGTTAAGGTCAGGCACAGTGCACTGTGATCCTGGCCTATCTGATTTTTATTTATTTTATTTTATTTTATTTTATTTTATTTTA